GCTCGTTCCCGTTCCTGGAAGAGAGCCGGGGTCGGCGGCGCAGGGCTCCGCGCCTCGCTTAAGGAGGAGTTGGCGAGTTTAGGGCCTTTGGATAAAAAGAGAGGGAAACCCGCTGCCAAAATCGCTGCGCGCCGGTGGCGGCCAGGATGCGGTTTGTGCCTGGAAAACATAGCAAAATCAAACGGAGCCCCCCAGAAATCGTGTGCTAACAGAAGCAGTGAAACTATTATGCAGTCTCAAGGTCAGGGTTTGCTTTGCGGGATGCCACAGCATTTCAGAGCACTGTGAGCAAGCTGGGAAAGTCTGTTTTCGAGGAACAGTCGAGCTGCTGTATCAGAAAAGACAGACCCAGCTTCCTTACTGAAGTAAAAGCAGAACTTCATGGGACTTTGTCAGGTGAATAGCAGAGGATGCCGAGCAGTGGAAATGCTCATGTGAGTGTATCGAGTGCACACAGAAATGAGTGAACGGGACAGATCTTCTTAAAAGAAGAAAAACACTATAGACAGTTGAAAAGTATCTTAGTCTCTTGGATTGTTGCGTAAGCTGAAAGCTTATGAGGAGGAGAGCACTTTCCTTTTCTGAGTGGGCAGGGAAAAAGAAGTATCAGAGGGAATGAGACTGGGGGGATCTCCACAAGTTTTCTGCTTTATGAAGCCCTCTGATGATGTTAGTTCCAGAGTCTCTCTTGGCAAACTGTCCCAGTGTCTACAATGTTAACGGCATTCAAACTTATATCCCTGCACTTTGGGTTAAGCCCATTGCTTTTATATTGCCAGGAGTGAGCACACTCCTGGTATAGAGTGTTGTAGAACAGGTTAATCCCCGTACTACATCGACTTTTCAACTATACACAGACTATTGCTATGTTGCCCTCAATCTTCTGTTTCCTAGACTAAATAAGGCCTTTTTTTTTTTTTTTTGACAATTCTTTCTTCTCATAGGTCATGTTTTCTAGAATACAGATTTTGTTGTTTCCTCTGGACTTCCTAGATGGTTTCTGTCATTCCTGAACTTCGGTGTGTAAAACTAGACACAGTGTTTTAGCTAAGTGTTAGGTTTTCCTCATGTCTTGGGTCTGCACACCCACTTAAACATGCTGGCATTGTGTTTGTGCTTTTTGCAACAGCACAGTTCTATTGACCTCCATTCAGCCTGAGAGCCACTATCACTCCCAGCTGCTCTGCTCCAGACCTTCCCTACAAGGGAGTGCATTACCACCATTTCTCTTACAATACTCGGTGAAAGAAATTGTCTCTAACGTCACAATGTCTGAAAAGCCAGATCAGCTCTGTGTAAGACATTTACACAGGATTACACAACACAGTTGGCCCTCCAGTTGGGATACCTGCCAGCTCTGTTTTAAAACTCCTGCCAAAAAGACCTTCAGGGCATGTAAGGTGCTTTGTGCCATGTCAAAAGCAAAGACAAGTCAGCTCTGCATTATAAATAACAACATGAGGGAAAGTAATCCCTGGCTGATAGCTTCCAGCACATACACACAGGTGAAACTATCCAGCCCCTAGTATAGCCCTGTTGTTTCAGTAATGAAAGTTTACTTCATGGTACGGATTCAGCTTGTGGCTTTGCGAGGTTAACTGTGATCATAATAATAATACTTTGCTGAGCTAGCAAATCAGTGTTTAAATGTTAGCAAAGCACTTGTGTTTTTGCCTATGGCTCTGAACTTCAAGGACTAACCTTGCAGTCCAGTGTGCCCTGACAATGACTTTGATTTAAAAGGCAATGAGCTCAAATCGTTAAAGAATTTCTGAAAATTGTGAAACTTACATTCTGCTAGATAAGAATTTGGGCAGTATTAATTCCCCATCGTTGTTGCCATCAGGCTTTGCTCACTTAACAGTTTCCTATATATTACGCTTTCAGACAGGTTTCTTCGATTAGCAGCCCATGAACCCAACGTGCAGCACTGCTCTGCGGCCTCTCAGCAGGATTGATGGGAATGGCCTGCCTACCTTGACTACCACAGGACATAGCAAAGCAGGGAGAACTGACCACTTTCGACATGCTTTGCTCTTCGTCTTGAGGTTGAAGTGGGCTGGCTGGGCACAGAACCTTGCTGTGTTACAGCTGCAGTAAAACCGCTGGGTAGCCTTGGGCTGGGCCCAGGGGCACAGCTCAGCACTAGCTCGTCAGTACAGCTCGGACCAGGGCCCTTGCCATTGCAGCTGGAAATCAGAGCCTGCAGAAGAGGCAGTTGTAGCACTACAGGGGATCTGCTGCCACAGCCTCTGAGCGGGAGCACAGATAGGGGTAAGCCTGCTGATGGAAAGAGTTGGGTAGGGTGGTGTCACAAACTCAAAGGACACTGGTCTGGCTCAGTCTGCGCATAGCTGACCTTGTGCCTAGAGTCCAGAGAGCTCATTCTCACTTGATTTGAAATGAAATCTCTGAGGAGCCCAGCCTGTCTGGAAAAGCTGGTAAACATTCCTACTAAGCCAGTCAAGACTGTCTGCAAACCTCACTTTTTTATGCTATTTGGCCTCCTTAAACTAGCTGAGCATACCCTTGAGACCTGGTTTCAGCAGTATACAACTGAGGAATAGCAACTTCCTTCCAAGGATATTTGTCAAAGCATTCTCTAAAGCCCCTCAAACAGTGTGGTTCTAATTTTTGATGGAGATTCTGAAGCATTGCTAGAATACAAATATAAATTGCTGTCATCCCCAGTTTTATGGAGAAAGAACAGAGGTGAAGGCAGTTGAACACTGACATGTCCTCTGAACGAGGAATCACTCAAAATTAGCAGTCACTTTTGAAAGCTGAAGCTTAAAGCCTTTCATTTGCATATGCTTAACAAAAATACACATATAAGTTCCACTGACTTAGATGGAAAGAAAGACTCTGTATTTGCCAATATTCTGGACAGTACTGACTGTCTGAGTACAGCCTACTAAAACCATGAAACTCTTCAATGTGAGCTGTGATTAGGGAAACCTCTCCTTCTTTCCCCTCTCCTCTTTATAGCTCTTAAATATAAAGATGTTGATAACTTAAAAAACATAGTCATCAGAGCGATGTCTTTTTCAGTGTCTTAAGGAGAATCAATTAGTACGTTGGCATTGTTAATCACGATGTAACAATCAAGGTGCAAGTCACTTTCTTCAGTGCAGTGCAATTTACAGTTGTAAAGAGAAACTTAGCTAATATTTAATTAACCAAGGGTTGGGTTACTTTGTGCTGTGGATAGGAAATTCAGACTCCTGCCATTTCAAGAGGAAGAAAAATAATTACACACAGATGTGGAATAATTTATTTGTTCTGTATTGACTTGTGAAACAAAATACCAGCTGTAATTATGCAACCTGATTTCCTTTATTTACAACAGCTGAACAAAATATCTGATGAGAGGTGTGGCCTATATCAGTAGCATAAACACTGTCTAGAGTATGTGATGTGTATCTGTAAAGCAACATGTTATTATCAATTTACTGCAAGATGTACTGTTTATTTAGCAGAAATATATTTGTTGTTCTTGTTTATCTATTATTTAGCTAGAGATACCATGGTTATTACTTATCAGCTAAAAATAAATCAGTGTTTACAATTCCAGAGTAAAAACATCATTCTAAGTGCTAGCTAAAAACGAGTTGTTTTTAAACTGTTGTTGTAATTAAAAAGCAATAAAATGTGTACAGTACTGTAGATAAGAGGCTTTTTGCTTTTGTGCTGGTTTTGGCTGGGATAGAGTTAATTTTCTTCATAGTAGCTAGTACGGGTTATGTTTTGGATTTGTGCTGGAAACAGTGTTGATAACACAGGGATGTTTTCGTTACTGCTGAGCAGCGCTTACACAGAGCCAAGGCCTTTTCTGCCTCTCACACCACCCCACCAGCGAGTAGGCTGGGGGTGTGCAAGAAGTTGGGAGGGGGCACAGCTGGGACAGCTGACCCCAACTGGCCAAAGGAATATTCTGTACCGTATGAGGTCATGCTCAGCATAGAAAGCTGGGGGGAGAAGAAGGAAGGGGGGGACGTTTTATCTTCCCAAGTAACCATTATATATGATGGAGCCCTGCTGTCCTGGAGATGGCTGAACACCTGCCTGCGATGCAAAGCAGTGGATGAATTCCTTGGTTTGCTTTGGTGCATGTGCGGCTTTTGCTTTCCCTATTAAACTGTCTTTACCTCAACCCACATGTTTTCTCGCTTTTACTCTTCTGATTCTCTCCCCCATCCCACCGGGGGGGAGTGAGCGAGTGACTGTGTGGTGCTTAGCTGCCACTGGGGTTAAACCACGACAGCTTTATGGCTGGCTTTCATTGTTTTCT